CAGCTCATTTCCTCTAATCTATTCAGTCACAGATCATTTTATTGCAGGTTCACACAAGAATTTGAGGGATGAATTTAAATGTCATGTTATGTTGTGTTTTTCCACATGTATCCCGTGTGTGGATAAATGTCAGTGATGGATGTCTCTTATAATAGCAGCAGTAGTTCTGAGAAGATCTCTTTGTATCCTCCCGACCTTTAATACAAAATGGATGAAATTCTACAAACTGTTTAATAGATATTGGTCACAAATATAAGGTCCCAACAGTGTCACCATAAAACTTCTTATTTATGTCATTTTACACTGAAAATGATGAATGTACTGAATTTACTGTATTAATTTAACATATTTTATTTTGTTTAATTAAAAACAATTTTATTATATTCATTTAAGCTATTGCATTTGCATATATATGTATATGTTTTATATCTGTTATTTATGTTTCACTGTGCTCAGCATTACAGTATTTTTTAGGATGCACTAAACTGTAAAATAATAATACTGTTTAAATAACTGAACTGTAATAAATCAACTTTGTCTTGTGATCTGAGGTCAGCAGAGATTGAAGTTTACTGCCTCTACATCACAGCTAGGTTTAACAGTCTTAATATCCAGCATTATGTGATTAAAAATGATCAGAGGAAACTGTTTCCTGATAATAAAGCATTTCTATTCTTAATCAAAGATAAATCAAAATATAAGTTTGTCAATATGTAAATGAGAAATGTAGTTTGAGTAGTAGAAATGATAATATCTGAGAACTGTGTCACCGACTCTTTAGAAAAATTATTAAGTATTGTCATTGTTAAACACAGAACCATGATTTATATGTGGTTTTACTGATAGTAGCACAGTCAGATAGACAGAGGGGATAAGGTGTGGGTGGACCTTGGATAATTAAATGTCAGCACCTTGATTGGATGGCTAAAATGTAAAGATGTGACATCCAGTGAAGGAAAGGGGAGAAAGGGTGAGCGGGTATAAAAGTGGGATGAAGAAGTGATTCTGAGTTCTTCCCTTTTGTCTTCTGTGAGATGATCGGTTCAGACAATTGGATCTAAGAGGTTCACAGTTCAAATTCCAGCAGCGATGTTCGAGGGGAAACTGCAGTCCAACCTGTAAATGTGCAAAATTTTGTATTTTTTGGCTTTTCATCTGCTCATTTTTGCCTCTTTAGTTAATTCAGATGGATTTTCATTTACATTTATACTTCCACTGCCCAGTGGCTTTCCTGCTGAGTGATTATCATCAACTCAGAACATCAGGATAAGGGCATCAGAAACAATGATCGGTGCAACGTTTTGGGCAGTAAAGTAATTCACTAGCTGTCTTGATCGATCTGTTATACTGTCTCTTATATTATAGTGATTTACTACATGATCTAAAAGCCCAGTGCGCGCTCCCGACGCAGGGGATACCGACCTTGACACGTCACCTGGTTAGCAGCTGCGTTCAGACCGACAGCAGCTCGT